CTTGGGAGGCAGAGGCAGGCGGATCTCTGTGAGTTCAAGGCCAGCTTGGTCTACATAGTGAGTTCCAGGCCAGATGGAGCTTAGAGACACCCTGTTTCAAAAGACCAAAAAAAGTAATTTTTTAAAAATTGATTTTAACCTACTATTAATTCAGAAATACCTGAGTGGGTTTGTGTGTCTGTGTATGCGCTTGCCTGTACACGGGTGTGTACATGTGTGTGGAGGCCAGAGGTCTGCCTCTGTCACTCTTCAGGGTCTCTCTGTAGCCTTAGCTGTCCTGTAGACCAGGCTGGCCTTGAACTCACATAGATCCACCTGTCTCTGCCTCCCGAGTGCTGGGATTAAAGGCATGCGCCACCATGCCCGGATCAGCTTGTTTTTAAATCTTTTTATGTGTATAAGTGTTTTGCCTGTATGTATATAAATGCAATGCCCACAGAGGCCAGAAGAGGGGGTCGATTTCCTGGAACTGAAGTTACAGACAGTTGTTAGCCACCATGTGGGTGCTGGGAATCCAACCAAGTCCTCTGCAGGGGCAGCCAGTGCTCTTAACTGCTGAGCCATTTCTCCAACCCCTGCACCTTGTTTTTTGAGACAGGGTCTCTCACTGACCTGGCTGGCTGGCCAGCAAGCCCTAGGGTCCACTTGTTCCAGCCCTGTATTAGTTGCTTTTTGTTACTGTGATAAAGCACCATGACCAAGCAAGAGAAAGAGTTTATTTTGACTTATAGTTCCAGGGGATGAGTCCATCATGTTGGGGAGGCTGGCAGCACGAAAGCTCACATCTTCATTCACAAACACAAAGCAGAGAGTGAACTGGAGGTGGGGCCAGGATATGAACTCTCAAAGCGCACCCCCAGTGACATACTTCCTCCAGCAAGGCCCCACCTCCTGAAGCGTCCATGACCTCCCCAAACAGCACCTCCCACTGGATACATATACCAGCTGTGGGGATCATTCGCTTTCAAACCACTGCAAACTTCTTAGAGCTGTGGTTCGAGACCGTAGTAGGTGCTCGCTCGGTGGGTGCTGGGAACCTGAGCTCAGCCCCAGTACCTGAGTTTTTAACACTAGCAGAGAGGTATTAGATGATTAAGAAAAGGAGAAAAAAAAAAACCTTTTTCTTTTTTAAAATTGGAGGTGAAGCTGGGTGTGGTGGTGCACACCTTTCATCCCAGCATTCATACAAGCAGCCTAGTCTGTGTAGTGAGTTCCAGGCTGACTGGGGCTACAGGGAGACCCTGCCTCAAAAAAAGACAAAAAACAACCCCAAAATATTTTGAGATGAAAAGAAATGTTTGTCTGGAGATGTAGCTCTGTTGGTAAAGTGTTTGATCCCTAGCACTGTATAAATAGGGCATGATGGTGCATGTCCAGCAAGAAGTTCAGAATTTCAAGGTTATCCTCAGCTATACACCAAGTTTCAGGGCAGCATGGATACATGAGATCCTGCCTGAACAGAGAAAAAGAAAAAAAAATGAGCCTTTCATCTTCAAAAATACTTAAGATTTTGCACAAGGTCAGTGGTGGATATGTGTGAACTGGGCAAAAGAACGAGGAATGTCCCTTTTTTCTGTGGAATTTTGGTTGGTGTGTCTTGAGCTCTGAAGATTCACCTAAAACATCATCCGTGGGGTTGGGGGTACAGTTTGCATACACTTGCTGTATTCAAGCCACTTAATGAAATAAGCTCATAACTTGGTTTTAATAATGTCACTATCGTAACTTGTCTGCTACTAAAGTCACACCCCTGTCAGGTGGCTTTGTAAAGGGCAGTGGTGCTAGTTACTCTGTTACCCATTGCACACATAGACTATAAGGAGGCCTCGCAGTTGATCGGGTGGTTTTTTTCTGTATTTGTTGGGTTTTAATTTTCAATGCAGGGTTTCATTCTGTAGCCCCGGTTTGCCTGAAACTCATTATTTAGCCCAGGCTGGCCTTAAACTTGTAGTAATCCTCCTGCCTCAGCCTCCTGACCTTAGTTTTTAAGATTCATTTTCTGTTATCTAATGTACCTTGCTGTTTGTATAAGATTTCTGAAAGAGTGGAGGGAAATCTGTGCCTGTAGATCCTTGTTTAAAGAGATTCATGAGACACTGTCAGAGGGAGAGGAGAGGAAGGAAGGAGAGAGGAAGGGAGAGAGGGAGGGAGCGAGGGAGGGAGATTGAATTTGGCTCCAATTGAAGATGCTTTCGATTAAAACTGTAACCACAAAGAATTATAGAAACTGTAGAATTCTAAATTCTCTACAACTTAAGAGTTCTGATGCCTGAACAAGAATGCAATGGCCAGAAGTTTATAGCATTAAAGTGGGGTATCAAGCTCTTGGGAGGCAGAGACAGGGGATTCCCCCAGGCAAACCAGCTAGACTAGCCAAACAGGTGAACTCCAGGTTTAGTGAGATCCTGCCTCAGTAAATAAAGTAGAGAGTGATTTGAGGAAGTCTCTCGTCATCTTCTGGCATCCACACGTGCACACATGTATACTCACACACATGCACACATGTACCTATCACACACACAGAGGCATCAGAGCATCTTTCTTGTGATCTCTGTTTAATTTGCCTTGTCAATTTTTTTGTTCTTGTTTTTACATTGAGCTTTGAACTCAATCCTCCTCCTTCCTCCCTCCCCCCCAACTACCTGAGATTATAGGTTTGTGTCACCACACTTAGCTCCAGCAAGATTGTTTTAGAGCTAAGATTCATTGAGCTGCCACGTAACCCACCTAAACATGTAATCCTGTTTCTCTTCCCCAGCCCTTTACACTGTTAATCAAATCCAGCCCATCCTGTGCCCATCTCTACCGCTATCGAGTTAAAATATACTGATGTCTTTGCTGACCAGCCTTGAGGAGACACCCCCCCTCCCCGTCTTTAGCTTTCATTTGAAATTCCTATCATTCAGATTTTAGTAAGAGAAACCTTTAAGTGGAACTGTAATCTGAGTATTGCTTCTAATAACTGGACTCAGCATGAACATTTTGAAGCCAGCTGACTGTTGTGTCTGTGTGTCGGTATTAAAGTACCATGGGGTTATTTCAGGAGAAAATGCGAACGAATGAAGGGCAGTCTTGCTGGGAGCAGAGAACAGCCAGATGAAATCAGTTTAGCACTCCTCAAGGCTTCTGGATCTTTGAGCGCACAGAACCTTCAAGACTGACCCCACACCTGTGGTTTGTCCAGAGCAATCCATTGGCCTATAAACAGTGACTACAGGGGAGAGCTGAGCTTTGTGATTGACCCTTCCCTCTTTCCTTATATGTCTTCGAGTGCACATGTGCACTTCATGCGTGTAGAGGTCAGAGGACAGCCTCGCCTGTGTCGGTTACCTTCTACCTTTTGTTTGAGACAGGGTCTTCTCATTGGTTGGAACTTCACCAAGTAGGTCAGGCTCAACCTGACTCCATCACCTGGCTCTGGGGTTACAGGCACATGCCATACCTGACTTTTTATGTAGGTTCTCTGGATCTAAACTCAGGCCTTCATGTTTGTGATGCAGGCACTGTACCAACTGAGCCAATCTCCCTGGCTAATGGCTGACTTTTTTAATGGATTACGGGATCAAACTTGGATTGTCATGCTTGCATGGCAATCACTTTACAGTTACCGAGCTATCTTCCTAACCCCCACTTCGAAATATTTTTGAAGAAAAAGAACCATCCCTCACAGGCTCATGTTACTTTTCTCTTTGTTCTCTGAGGTTTGGAAACATCAGCTTTCACCCCTCAGTGCCCTGTAACTCACTTCCTTCCCTGTGTCCCCTATTCTCACAGAGCCCTTGCCTGGAGAACTTAGTTCTCAGCTTTGCCGTGACTTCCTCAGTGAAACCCTGGGCCCCCCTAGCATGGGCTAGGAGCTTCTGTTGCAATCACTTGCTCTGTGTATGTCTCCTTCAGAGAGAGAGAGAGAGACAGAGAGAATATGAATGCATGGTTATGCCACAGTGCATGTATGGCAGTCAGAGGACAACTTTCAGGCGCTGTTTCTCTCCTTCCACCATGTGGGTTCCAGGGATTGAACTCAAGGCATCAGACTTGGCACCAAGCACCTTTTTTTGCTGAGCCATCTTTCTGGCCCAAGAGTAGAGAGGTGCTCAGGGAAAGAATGGGGCGTACCCAAGAGCACTGGTGTGGGCTTCTTTTATTTAACCGCTGAGCCATCTCTCCAGCCCCTTATTTTTTATTTTATTTTTGGTTTGTTTTTGAGACAGGGTCTCCTTGTAGCCCCCTGGCCTTGAATTCACAGAGATCTACCTGCCTCTGCCTCGGGAGTGCTGGGATTAAAGGTGTGCATCACCACATCCAGCTTTTATTTTTTAATTTTATGTATATTATTGTTTTGCTTATATGTATATATGTGAACCACATTCATGCAATGACTACAGAGGCCAGAAGAGGGTGTCAGTTCTGGAACTGGAGTTACTGACTGCTTTTAGCTGCCATATGGGTGCTGAGAACTGAACTCAGGTTCTCTGCAAGAGCAGCCAGTTCTAACCACTGAGCAATCTCTCTAGCCCATTGGTATAAACTTCTTAAATGAAAGTTCACCAAGATACCATTTTAGAGTAAAAAAAAATATTCTCAGGACTGAGGATGTAGCTCAGGGACAGAGTGCCTAGCGTGGGCAAGGCTCTGGATCCCCAGCATTGCAAGGGAAAGAAAAGGAGGAGAAAAGTGTGGCTTCCACAGTAAGCTCAGGGTGGCAAGAGCCTTTGTGTCTGAAACATCTGGAATGGTGAAGAGTACCTGTCCTGCTTGTGCTCGGTTAGTGAAAGATGGAACGAATACAAAGCCTTGTGCTCAAACTCAATCTGCTGGATGAGAACATGGCACATGTTTTTTACAGTGACTGAGTCTTTTAGATAAATATCGTCATCATTGAACCCCCATGTCTCTGTATTTCTCCATTTACTTGTTTCTGTTCTGAAAATTCAAGCATTGTTTCAAACTTAGATATGTGGATTGAGATTCAGTTTACATGGCTCTGTCTTTTTCTACAGCCCTTACAGAAGAATGGTCAGCTGTCCACTGTTGGTGGTGTAACTGAACAAGGAGATGTCGGCATCCAAGAAGGAGCCCTGGATGGCCAGGAGGAAGAAATCGTGGTTGCAGATGGTAAGCCGTCCTTCTAGGCAGGCTGTGGGCAAGACATGGGAGCTGGTGGCAGACAGCACTTGCAGTGAACCGTGGACTGGGTTGTCACATATTGTCAATAGAAATACTGTCATATTGCCTGGCAGCAGATGATGTCAACAACAAAAACAATCAGTTGGCCTCCTAAGGAGGTATTTAACTGACCTTCTGGGTAGCCTCTGTACTTAGGGGCTGACATCATGCTTCCTCTGTCTGACACATCCTTACCCAGAAGTTAAAGTTTTTAAAATCATTTCCTTATCAGAAATATTTACCTGGTGTCAGATGTGAATTCTCATTGGAAACAAAGATATCATGGTTGCTTTAGAAAAGTGAGGGGCCCAGCACCTCCCCAAACTGAAAATGAAAGTAACAATTCAGATCACTCTAGAGAGAAGCCTCCAAAACCCACACAGATTTTGGGGGGTAGGTACAATGCAAGGTGCACAGGGCTCTGCTTAAATGGTAATGTTACAGCTCTGCTTAAATGGTAATGTGCTGCATATGCTCTGTATTTGAACATAGAGGTCTGGGGATGTTACCAAACGGTACATCTACCGCCACAGTGTCACTTTGATGTTAGCTTACAGGGCGGGGAGCCATACATGGGGTCAGAATCAAGCACGCTGACAGTAGGTCTTTTGAGAAAAGTGAAAGATTCCAATAAAGGTTAATGATGCTATTGAAGTACATTGGGGCCATTGGAAATGCTTAGCAGGAAAAGACACTTGCCACCAAGCATGATGATATGAGTTTAATCCCTGGCACCCACATGGTAGAAGGAGAAAACTGACTGCTGAAAGTTGTCAGCCGTCCTCTGACTTCCACACATGCCTGTGTGCACACCCCCCCCCACACACACACACATTCACGGACACACAAAAGTAATTAAATAAATAAGTGTAATTTTTTAAATGATACATTTGGGCCTGGAGAGATGGCACAGAGGTTAAGAGCAGTGACTGCCTGGCTGCTCTTATAGAGGACCTGGGTTCAGCTCCCAGCACCCACATGGTGGCTAGCAACTGTCTGTAACTCCAGTTCTAGGGGTCCAATGCCCTTGTCTATCCTCCACGGACATTACACACATGGGTGTACATATGTATATGGAGGCAAAACACATACAAACAATAAAAATAAATACATTATAAAAACCAACACCCCTTTGGGCGTGGTGGTGCACACCTTTAATCCCAGCACTTGGGAGGCAGAGGCAGGTGGATCTTTGTGAGTTTGAGGCCAGCCTGCTCTACACAGTGAGTTCCAGGACAGCTGGGGCTACAGGGAGACCCTGTCTCAAAAAGACAAAAGAAAAAAAAAAAAAAACCCAACACCCCAATATCTTCAATGAGAATTTGATGTGCAATAAGTTGGCTCCTGTATGCAATATAAATAAGAAAGAGAAAAGGAGTTTGGGGACTCTTATCCCATCTGATAAGATTCTTTGAACACACGGAACCCATTTCTCTTCTTCCATGCCCCCACAGCGCTGTGTCAAGCTGGGAGCTGCTTTGAAGTTGATGGGAAGACTGATCTTTATATAGCACCACAGGCACCATATAAAGTTAGAAATGCATACACAGTCTCCCAGATGGAGTATTTGCCTGACCTAGTGTGAGAGTTTCAAATAATATCCACCAGAATAATTGGAGTAGACCCAACTCAAATTCCCAAGGCCAATCCTTTGTCCTCCAGAGTTCACTACTGAATTAAATCAAGCAGTGGCCAGTGTATGTATACAGGTGTGCGTGTGTGTGTGTGTGTGTGTGTGTGTGTGTGTGTGTGTGTAGGCCTCACTCCTTGGGAGCTGTCCACCTTGATTTTTGAGACTGAGTCTCTTGTGGGCCTGAAAATCTCAAGTAGGCCAGACTGACTGGCCACCCATCCCCAGGGATCTGCCTGTCTCTGCCATCCCATCACTGGGGAAGCTTGTGCCACATGGCATGGCTTTTTTAGTGGATTCATATTTGCAAGGAAAGCACTTTGTCAACTAAGCCATCTCCCCAGCCCCCCGGTGGCCATTTTTTATTTTACTCTGACCCTAAGTTATTATTGTGCTGGTCCCTTCAAGGAAGATGACAGCCAAGAAATGGTTCTCTACTTTCCATACAGGCCAGCAGGGGAGACATGAAGATAGGCAGGAGAAGATTAAAAACAATAATACATAAGACTAAAAAGAGGCCACTTGGTGACAGCCTAATGCATTTTTCAAGAGATGAGAGCTGCTCAGAGATCAGGTGGAGAAGTTCTCGCATGCAAGTCATGGGTGGCATAAAATCTGGGGATAGAAGAGAAATTGGGTTTAGATGTGTCAAGATCAGAGTTGGAGCTGAGGCCCAGTGTTTAGAGCACTTGTCTACAATGTGCAAGGCCTCAGTGTGATATGCAGCACTACAGGAGAAGAAAAGAGGTATGAGAACAGTCAGCCAATACCTGATGTGGGCTGCCTCCCCATGAACTTGGAGATAGAAGGCAGGGCCTGTGCATTCTGGGCAAAAACTGTGCCACTGTCCATTTTTCTAATCACATCATTGTTCTTAGTAATTACGGTAATGTCATGAGCTAAGTAATGTTCCTGGTGATTAGTAATGTTCCAGATGATTAGAATCTCAAACCCAGCTGCCAACCACTGCACTGTCCCCATGCAGAGCACATGTAGAGAAAGCTCCCAGGAGGAACCGTGTGGTCCCAGCAGGTTCCAGAATGTCCAGTCTCTGGTCTGTGGGCTGCATGTAGCCCAGGAGAACTATGAATATGACCCAACACAAAACCATAAACTTATTTTAAACATTATGAGATTTGTTTTCATGTGTAATTTTTTTCTCCAACTTGACTTTTTAGTTCTGGAGCCTGAACTTTGTAGACGACAAGATTGTGTCATAATGTCAAAAAGTTGGGCACCCCTGACAGAAGAACATGGTCTGGATAAAAGGGAGCCAAAAGCAGTGTGGTTTGGGAAATATTTTGCACAGAGTGTGAGATCTCTGAACTATACAGCAAAAGAGGCTGTGGTGAGCAGACTTCTTTTTTAAAAATGATTTTTTAAATTACATTTTTGTCTCTTTATTTGGTGTGCACGTGTGCGAATGACTTGCTGGAGTTGGCTTTCTGCTTCCACCATTTATTTATTTATTTATTTATTTATTTATTTATTTAATTTATTTAGTGTGTGTTTGTGTGTGAGTGTGTGCATGTCATGGTGCATATGTGAAGGTCAGAGGACAGCCCGCAGGAGCCAGTTCTTTCTACCCTGGCCTAGCTAATTGTATAGGCTAGATGGGGGGATGGGGCAGGCACATGTCCCATAAGATCCCAGAGAGTGTGGATGTTACTTTTAAGTGGTGACGCGTTTCCTGGAGGTTTGCTGCTGGCTGTCTTTCTTTACTCCAGATGGGATTGCTCAGATATTTCAGCCCCATGGCTAAACACTGACTTTTATACAAAGCCATTCTGTCCCCACCCTATGACTATATTCCGTGGCCTCCCAGACCTTTGACCACGGATAGCCAAATGCTTCATACAGGAAGAGTAGAAACTAACAACAGACTTTGGCTGTCAAAAGATCATGAAAAGAGTTTGTCCTCTGGAAATGTCTGAACATCCCTTGAAGGCCCAGGTCCATAGAGGCCAGCACAACGGTCTCTTCTTCAGGCCTCTTGTCAGGATGGACTTTCCTCCTGTTAGAAGCATCTTGTGCTTTTGACATCGTGTTAAGCCTGTGGTTAGGTGATTTAAGAAACTTTTTTTACATTTATTTAGTGTGAGTGTGTGTGTGCCTACACAAGCATATGTGCATACTCAGTACATTTGTATGTGAAGGTCAGAAGACAACTTGTGGGAGTTGGGAGTTCTGGAACTTGAAAGCCCGTCATCAGGCTAGGCAGCAAGTGCCTTTACTCAGCCATCTCACTGGCCCGTTAGGTACCTTTAAATTGTGTATGTTTGGGGCTGGAGAGATGACTTAACGGTTAAAAACACTGGCTGTTCTTGCAGAAGACCCAGGTTCAAATCCTAGCACCCACATGGCTAACAACTGTCCGTAACTCCAGTTCCAGGGGATCCAACAGCCTCTTCTGTCCTTGACGGGCATTGCACGACACAGGTGCACTTACCTACATGCAGGCAATACACGCATGCACATTAAAAAAAATTGTATATGTTTGTGTGTGGTATATGTGAACTTGTGTGCATAAGTGTGTGTACCCGTATGCATCTATCTTCATCTTATTTATTATTTCATTTTATTTTAGACAGGGTTTCACTGTGTAGCCCTGGCTGGCCCAGAATGCATAGAGATTGGTCTGCCTCTGGGATTAAAGGCCTATGCCACTACACCTTTGACCTTATTTATTTTTATTATTATTTTATTTTGTGTGTATGAGTGTATTACCTGCATGTGTGTAAGTGCACCTGTGTTGTGCAATACCCATGGAGGTCAGAAGAGGGTATCAGGTTCCCTGGAACTGGAGTTATGGACTGTTGTTAGCCACCATTTGGGTGCTGGAATCAAACTGGATCCTCTGCAAGAGCAGACAGTGCTCTTAACCGCTGAACCATCTCTCCAGCCCACTTTGACCTTATTTTTTGAGACAGGATGTCTCACTGAACCAGAAGCTTATGGTTTTGGCAAGCTAGTTCCCTGGGTCTGCCTGTCTCCACCTCCCAATGCTGGGGTTACAGGAACCTCATAACTATGCCCAGCTTTCAAATAGGTGCCAGAGATTCAAACTCAGATTATCTTGCTCTTACAGCAAGCACTCTTACCCCCCCTTTGATCCATTTCCCCAAACCCCTATGGTTAGGTTTTTATGGTTATTTCTGAAAATGAGAATTCTACCTAGAAGATTATTATCCTACAAACAAAAAAAATGTTTGAGGATGTAAACACTTAACTGTAGGATTTATGGGGTGGGGCTTGGTTCCTACCACAGTCCACTTAAATAAGAACAAGTTTGATACATGGTGGTTCCTGGGAAGACTGG